GATGACTAGACTTACTAATACTTTATTGAATACTGGAAATTTTCTAAGAGAATTGATTTTAGGTGGTATCATATACACACAAAAATGGTAATTATGTGGGAAGGTGATATATTAATTAGCTTGACTATAGCCATCATTTCACTGTGCATGTGTCAATCAAATCACCATGTTGCATGCCATAAGTTCCTACTGATATCTCTGATTCCAATCTCAGACCACAAGATACACTGTCATCTTTCCATTTCTATATTTGTAACTTCATCTTCCAATAGTGAGAAATTTGGCTTCCCATTATGTTCAACAAATATCTTTATTCTTTCAACTTGGAATATACAAAAGGTTAATTCATATTCCTTAATCTATATCACAAAGCAAACCTACTAAAAAGAATTCAGTATTTTTCACATTTTTTAAGGAAAGGCTACAAGTTATTAGAGCAACATTATTTGTGTACAGATCTCAAATGTACAGTTTGTTAGTTAGACAAAAATCTATACCCATGTAATTCATGTCCTGTCAATATATAAGGCTGTCCTGGCTTAGTGAGTTCTGTGTTGGTCTGCAAATCAAAAGGTCACTGTTTCGATTCCTACTCAGGGCACATGCCTGGCTTGTAGTCCAGGTCCCTGGTTGGGGGCATGTGAGGGTCAACTAGTTGCTGTTTCTCTTTCTCCCTCACTTCTTTTCGATCTAAAAAGATAAATAAAATGTAAAAAATAGGCTTTTCCATAACTTTAGAAAGTCCTGTGTGCCCCTTTACTATCAATATCCACCCTCTCAAAAGTGGTCATTTTCTGACTTCTTTAACCATAGAATTGTTTGGCCTACTCTAGGACTTTATATCAATGCAATCATGAAATGAATATTCATGTATCTGGCATCTTTTACTCCTTATAATAACTATGGATTTCATCCATGTTGTTATGTATAATTGGTTCTTGTTACTGACTAAGGAGTATTTCACTATACAGTTTTGCCATGATTTGTTCATTTACTTGCTTGTCAGTAGGCATTGTTTGGGTTATTTCTAGTTGGGGCTAATATGAATAAAACTACTATGAACATTTTGGTACAAATATTTTGTTAATATATGGGCTCCATTTTTTTTTTACTTCTACATCTAAGATTGGAATTGCTAAATCATAGGTAGAGGTACGCTGAACTTTATAAGATATTGCCAAACATTTTGTCAAAGTGGTTTTAATATACTCTCAACAGCAACGTATGAGAACTCTAGTTGCTCCATATTCTCACCAACAGTTGGTGTTATCAGTTGGTTTTTAATTTTAATGATTTAACTGTTTATGTGATAGCATCTCCTTAGACCTTAATAAACATTTCTCTGATGTATAATGATGATAGCATTTTTTCATGAGATTGTTGGTAATTTGTATATCTTCCTTCTGTGAAATGTCTATAATGTGCTCCCATGTATAATGCTCACCCACGTTTTTTGGCCCAAACTTTCAGGAAAAAATCTTTCATTTAAATTTTCTAACTTATTTATTTATTTATTTATTTATTTAGTTAGTTAGTTATATTTAGATACTTTGTCTTTTGTATTATGAAGAAATTTTAGCATTTATTTTTTAACATATGGTATAAAAATGTTATGTAACAAATAATTATAAAACATAACAGATATAAGATATTTCAGGCACTACCCATGTATAATATAAATCCTTATTTTTCCCTCAAAAATTTGGGCAAAAAAGTATGCATTGTACACAGCAAAATATGGTAGTTTTTTCTGTATTCTAAATTATTTCTTTTGTCTTTGTATTATTGAGTTGTAGGAATCCTTTGCATGTTATGTATATAAGTCATTTGGCAGATACATGTTTTGCAGATTTTCTGACAATGCCTACCTTGTCTATTCATTTTTTAATGATGTCTGTTGATGAGCATGTGTTTACTTTCAATAAAGTGTAATTTATACATTTTTATAATTATTACTTTCTGTATCCTTTTTAAAAATCACTTTCTTCTCTCAGATTGTAAATTTGTTTTCTTCTAGAAGTTTTAGCTTTAAAATTTAGGTTTAATATTCATCTTGAATTAATTTTTTTGTTTGATGCAAAGTGGCGGAAGCTCTTTGGGTTTTAAACCTAGAATATTATTATGTTAAAGAATATTTTTGCATAAATATTTTAAGTGTTTTTCCTTGGTATTAATACTCTTTAGGGTAGCAAGTAACTCAACTGAGATTAGGCAAACAGGAATCGTTTTGTTCACTTTGCTGGGAACAGTAAGACATAGCTCACAGGATCAAAGGTTGGTACCCAAAGGCCAGGAGTACAGGAACTAGAACAAGGTAGATATTCCAGGGCTCTCTCTATTCTCCTCTCACATCTGCTTATGTTTGAAGAGCCTCATTTTGCGGAAAGCTTTCCTCTACAGGTCAGGGGACATGGCTGCTGTCACCCTCAGATATTCATCCTGCCAGTATCTATAGCTGACCTAGGAAAGGACCCCGCTTGGCACTGCTTCAGTCACATGTCCACTCCCTGGGCTGGTCACTGTTGCTAGGGAGCACAGGACCTATGTGTGATGAAGCAGAGACCCACATTTTGGCAGTGTGATAGTGCTACCAACAGAAACAGTGTGGCACGATGGTGAAAGGGGTCCCCAAAGATAGGCTTCTAGACATTCCAAAAATTCTACATCCCAGCAAGCTTCCTATTTTTCAAAAGTGGCTTTTTAGGTATACTATCTTCATGTTCCACTGTACTGCTGATTAAATATATTCAAGTGCAACAAAGCTAGGTTTCTACTCAGAAAGGGTGAATTAATTAGATATTCTGAAGAACTATGATATGTTCATATTATATGAGACTAATAGTACCTCCTCAAAGATCAAAGTTTAACACATTAAAATCCATAATAATGTGAATGATGCAAAATAAAGTCGAATCACAGTCAGATTTTTTCACTTTGGTATCTCCCCACTTTCCTCAAATTCTAATGAAAAAATTGTTTTGTCAAATATTGAGATATTTGTTATATCTCAATATAACAAATCAGTGGGAGAGCAACTGTGGTTCAGTGATTAGGACAAGATTTATATACTTTGAGTGCCCAGTAATTTTTCAGAGGTTGTAAAACAAGGCTGAAGATGTTCAACCCACAGGATTAATGAACAAAAAAGAGATTCTTATTGAAAATCACTAAGTACCTCACGGCTTGCATTTGAAGGAGGACACCTGAGAGTTTATTGCAGACCAATGACTATCTCTGCCAAAGTTACCTACTGGTAAAGTATATTCTTTGAGGTGTGATTGAATAAAAAGCTGTCCCCTTACCCTTGAAATGACAATATGATGGACAACATATCTGGTTTTCCTGGATTGGACTCACTAAAGGAATCTGACTTTAGAAGTAGTATTTCAGACAAGCTTTCATCTGAGCTTAAAAATGTGATCATGAGGGCACAGAGATGGAGAAATTCTGTGACAGGCCCAGAAGTTGTTTCACTCTTGTGAGAGGAGGACCCAGCTGAGAAAGCTCTTCCCCCACCCAGCCTGACTGTCTCTCCCAGTATCCACTCTTTTGACTTTGGCCCCCACTCTTCCCACCGTCTACAGAATCTCTACTTTATTCCTGCCCTGTTCCCCAGTCCTTTGGGTATTACAATCCCATTACTTTTCAGATTTAGCTGTGGAAACCCTCCTTTCTTTGTTTCTTGAGACAGCTTTTCAAAACAAAGTTTTGAGCTATGAGTAAGAAAGGAGAGAGTCACAAAAGCTTAAAAATTGAGATTTTTATAAAAAAATCAGGTTTCTTGTCCTTTTTTTTTTTTGCTTAAAATAACAGGTTTTACTGTCTCATTTTTTTTTTGGTTTATTGTTTATACTGTTATGTCCTTGCTTTTTCTCCCTTTTCCTCACCTCCACCCCTAGCGAATCCCCATATTGTTGTCTGGGTCCAGGGATTGTGCACAAACGCTCTTTGGTTAATCTCTTTACCAACTTTCATCTTGTCTCCTTTCTGGCAGCTGTCAGTCTGTTTTGCATATCTATGCTTCTGTTACTATTTTGTTCATCCATTTATTGTGTTCTTTAGATTCCACATATAAGTGAGATCATGTTGTACTTGTCTTTCTCCACCTGGATTAATTCACTTACCATAATTTTCTCCAGGTCCATCCATGTTGTTGTAAAATGAAAGAGTTTCTCCTTTTTTGCTGCTGCATAGTATTCTATTCCATAAATGTACCACAGCTTTTTTATCCACTGATCTCCTAATGGGTACTTAGGCTGTTTCCAAATGTTGGCTATTGTAAATAGCACTGCTATAAACATAGGGGTGCATATACTTTTTTGTATGGGTATTTTGGGGTCCTTGGGGTATATTCCCAGAAGTGGAATTGCTGGGTCTGAGGGAGTTCCATTTTTAATTTTTGAAGGATACTCCATATTGTTTTCCACGGTGGCTGCACCAGTCCCACCAACAGTGCACGAGGGTTCCCTTTTTTCCACATCTTCTCCAACACTTGTTTGTTGGTTTATTGATTATGGCCATTCTGACAGGTGTGAGGTGCTAACTCATGGAGGTTTTAATTTGCATTTCTCTGATCATTAGTGATGGTGAGCATTATTCATGTCTATGGGTCCTCACAAAAACCTGAGTAGACACTTTTCTGATTTTATTTTATTTTATTTTATTTTTTATAATAAATTTTATTTAGTTACTTTTCAAGTACATTTTTTTATCTATTTCTCCCATCCCACCCCCCGCCCTGTCTCCCCCCTCCCTCCAATTCCCCTCCCCCAGTCCTCATCCCTGTGTCTTTCATACTTGTTCCTCAAAATCCCTCCCCCTTTTTCCCCTTAAATTCCCTTCCCTCTCCCCTCTGGTCAAGTAATAGATTGGTCTAATTAATATAAAATAAGAAACATCCAACTTCTATTTTCTTTTTCCTGCTTCAAATCTGCTTCCTTTGTTGTATGATGCAATGATGATTGCCATCCTTGAGCTCTCAGCAAGCTGTTACTTTTTTTAAAAGATGACTTTTGTGCTTGTGTATGCAAACAGTACACAAAAGGTTAGCATGGTCCCTGTACAAGGATGACAAGCAAATTCATGAAGTGTTCCATATTTTTATGTAATGTACAGCATGGCTACTATAGGTATAAGACTGAATTATGTATTTGAAAGTAGCTATGAAAGTGGATCTTGTTAGTTCTCATCAGAAGAAAAGAAATTGCAACTACGTATGGTCACAGATGTTTACTAGACTTCCTGTGATCAGTTTACAATACAGTTCTTATACCACATAATGGCATTTCAGTCAAGGGCAGATACAATAAATAGTGATCCCCTAAGATTATAATAGAGCTGAAAAATTACTATTTCCTAGTGATGGCACAGTCATCTTAACATTGTAGCACCACACACCAGGTGTGTATAGTGATGCTGCTGGGAACACGCCTATTGTGATGCCGTATAAAAGTCCGATGTTCACAGTTATGTACAGTGCACAATACTTGACGATGATAATAAGCAAATGTGTTATTGGTTCATGTATTTACTATACTTTTATAATTATGTTGGTGTGTACTCTTTCCACTTATAAAGTTTGCTATAAAACGGTATGCTGTGTTACACTGGCAGTAGCCTAATACATCTTATGTCCTCCATGTCTCCTGACTGCATCATTTCTCTTGTGCTTGATTTCATCTCACATTGCTTCGTACAGTGACATGCTGTACAGGCTTGCAGTCTAGCAGCAAGAGGCTGTACCATGTAGCCTAGGGGTGTAGTAGGCTGTACCATCTAGGTTGTCTACTATAATGTTTGCGCAAAATAAAAATTCTTAATGATGCATTTTTCAGGATATATCTTTATTGTTAAGTGGAAAATAACTGTATATACAGATATAGAATCATTACACAGTATACCTGAAACTAATGGAATGTTGTTGTAATTTTACCTCAATTTAAGGAAGGAAGCTTTCTCTTCTTTTCCCATTTCAAATGGCATTCTTTCATGGGGCATACCTGAGTTTTTATATTATGTTAGTTCTTGTATTTTTCATAGGATTGAAGCCACAAAGAGTCTCCCTCTCCTTTTCCTTACTGTGGGCGGGTTGGGACTGCTGGGACTGCTGCACTGGGAAGGCACCTGATGGAATGTGCAGGTCGTGCAGGCAGGAGCACTGGGGCTAGTTAACAAGGCCTCCCACGGGCTTGGGGGGCAGCAATGACCACACGCCTGTCCTTTCTCCCTTAATCCCATTAATGGTACAGTTTTTATTCTGATTTGGATATCTGTTTCTACTCAGGCCATTGGCATGCAGGATTCCAGTGGTTCTCTTTTTCACTCGTCCCTCACAGTGGTGTGATGTTGGGGAACATATCTAAGTGTATATTAAAATGCTTTTCTCCTTATTTAATTAAAACCTCCTTAAAAGAGAGAAGATACTCTCTATAAAGTATGTAGAATTAAACATAAGACAAAAACAAACTAAATGCAAAGAAGAAGTTTGAAATGATTCATCCTACAATATTAAGTCCTTTTGATTTTTTTAGTGAATGAATATGAAAATATTGAGGCTTAAAATATAAAAGGTAGATTGACATTCCTGATTCATTCCAACACATACATCATTTTTATCATTGTATATTCTTTGATGTTTGGACAATTTAATTCTAAATGAATTAAGCAATAATATATTTAGTGTTTCCTCAGTAAAATAACCCCACATTTACAAAATTATTACTGTTAAAGTTCCCTCAGGTGAGATCTTCTGGTGACTACTTTAAACTTTATATTCATGACTGCTGTACTTTATTCAATTCCTATTTTCCTCACACTTAAACTCTTCAGTTTCAAAAAAAAAATGTTTGTTTATTTTTAACTCAAATTATGAATAAGGGTAGCATCATCAGTAAGACATACGGGAGTTTTCTTTCCTTGGTAATTTCTGAAGTTCAGTTTAGCTTTAAATCCCTAAAAACTAAAGAATTAGATTTAGGCAGGAGAATATGAACTGAATTCCTTGCATTGGTGTCTAATAATAGAATGTTTAGGAGTTTTGCACTTTACTCTGGGGAGCCTTGAGGGCTCTGGGGTCAATTCTAGTAGGCTCTAAAGACTGGCTGATGCATTTACAAATCTCTTTATTCATTTAAATTTATTCAACAAATATTTGACTATCCAGTATATGCTAATTAGTATCAGGTTATCTAGGGAGCACTTATATTCAATGAGTTACGGTATAGAAAACTGTAAAGTAATAAGCAGATGGCCAACAGGTGATAAAGATTATGTCCAGAGTGGTATGGGAGTTCATGGAGGGGAACATCCAGATTGGGAAATGGCAGGGGCACTCGGGAGGCCATTGTGTAGGGGCTGAAGGATGAAAAAAAAGCCGTGGTTCATATATGCAGTGAAATACTACTCAGCCATAAAAAATGAAATATTACATTCTGCAATAGCATGGATGAACCCAGGAGGTATTTAGCCAAATGAGTCAGATAAAGACAAATACCATATGATTTCACTTACACGTGGAATTAAACAAAAAAACAGAAGAAACAAACAAAACTGAAACAGAGTCATACATACAGAGAACAGACTGATGGTAGCCAGAGGGGAGAAGGATTGGAGGATCCAGTAACAAAGACAAAGGGACTAAGAAATACAAATTTTTACTCACGAAATTGTCACGGGGATGTAAAGTACAGCATAGGGAATATAGTTAATAATATTCTAATAATTATGTATGGTGGGTGTGTGAATATTAGGGTGACACTTTGTAAAGTATGTGGTTGTCTAAGCACTATACATCTGGATCTAATACAAAATAATACTGAATATAAGCTGTCATTACAAAAATAAAATAAAATAATAAAAATTAGAGGAATATACCTTTAAAAACATTAACCATGAAGTCCTGGGAGTGAGAACAATGGCGTGTGAAAAGCCAAAGCTCTTTCAAGGTGCTTTAAGATATTTAGTTGCTTCCTGAAAACAGATTTAGGCTCCTGGGATTTATCTTGCAGCTAAAACAATTTCTACTAGATTCTTGGCAACAGCAGACCTAGAGAGCTCGTTCCCTTGTAGGGGCCACATGTTGACGCACTCTTCAAATGAAGAGGTGTGTGGTCGAGAGTGAGGGGCAGAAAATGAACGGGTTTTCACTCATCGATTTTGTTTAGTTACAACAAGCTACTAAGATTTAATTTTTTTAAGTTTTGCTTGCACATATTTTTTTTGTAAATGCACATCGCCTTAATCTGTGCTGGTGCCATAACAAAATGCCACAGACTGGGTGGCTTACACAACAGACATTTATTTTCTCACAGCTCTGAAGGCTGGAAGTCTGACATTAAGGTGGCAGCAGGGCCAGGTTCTGGTGAGGCCCCTTCCCGGACCAGCAGGAGGCCGCCCTCGCACCAGGAGCTCACATAGCCTCCCCTGGGTGCCTGCTAGCGGAAAGGGAGCAGGGCAGAGAGAGAAAGAGAGAGGCCAAGACTGACATTGTTTAAATATTTTGGACATTAAGTTACAAATTAAGTAAACAATTGCAATTATTGGAAAAATGTTCTGGGAAGTAATGAAAATAAATCTATAATTTCACAGATTGACTATCATGTACCACAGTCAGGTTGGTCAGTGAGCACTGAAGGGCAAAGCTCTTTCATACTCTTTGCTTCATCTGAGAACGTCGGAGCCGCAGGCATATACTTCCACGTCTCCCAGCAGCATGGCACTTAGTGTATTTGAATAACGAGAAAAGAATCCCAACAAATGTTTTGCCTTAAAAAGTTTCTTCCCTGAGGAGAAAACAGACACACTGCATATACACGCACACCCACCGCACACACACATATGGACACATGTGCACATATATGCATATATGTTATGTCTGTCCTTGTTTATGTTTTGTTTTGTGCGCCGTTACCTGTGGAGAGGCTGTGTGCTAGCATTTAGACATACAGCACAATAAAATGTCTTACTGCTTGACAAACCAGCATGTTACCAACAGCTACAAAACAAAGTTTTTTTAATAAAAGGGTTAGAATTCAGATAAATATTGCCTTTCCTGAACAGTACATTCACATTCATTTTACAAAGGAGTTTCTAATGCAGCACAAAGGGTGACAATTGGATATGAACAAAATTACTCTTGAAAGTTATATAAATCACAAATTGCAGTATTTTATCACCTCTGCCAGTTTTATTTGTGTTTTCTCCTGGAGCAATAGAACAGATCACAGTTCTTTCACTGAACAGCTGGAATAGTTTGTGTTGAAGGGCCATTGGATGTGAAATCATGTGAACTCTGAGACGTGGGTCACATTTGCACAGCGAGACACCCCCCAGAGGCCCAGGGGACTGCCCCTGACTGTAAAAGGCACCTCCGACCTCTGGGGGTGTATGCTGGCTGAGGGTCATGGAGGCATTGTGGTGGAGTTGCTCATGCTTTTAAGTTGTTCTCTCTCTCCCTTCTCATATACTTTACAGAGTGTTCCCCTCAATGGCAACTGGCATCCTAATAGTTGTTACAATATTGTTTACTATATTCCCTATGTGTACGTTACATCCCCATGACAATTTTGTAACTACCAATCTGTACTTCTTAATCCATTTAACTTTATCACCCAGTCCCCCAACGCCCCTGCCCTCTGATAACCAACAGTACAATCTTTGTCCATAAGCATGTTGCAATTTCATTTGTTTGTTTGTTTAGTTCTTTAGATTCCACATATAAATGAAATCATATGGTATATGTTTTTCTCTGACTTTCTAACTCTTTTCTCCTTTGTCAGTCTCTCATGTTTGCTAAACATATGTAGTTGGGTAGGTAAATTCAAACACATTGCAACTCTATTTTTATATGGCATTCTATTTTTATACATCTTTGATTATATGCATGTTTATATATTCTTTGTTAAAGTCACAAATACAAATACCTATGTGTGTGGCTGTTTGGCTTTTAGAAATTCTGTTCAGAACATGAATTTCATCTCAGTTTGCACCATGTAATACTGTTGTGTTCCTAGACCATCCATGTTGCAAAAAAGGACCACGCAAGGAAACATGTAAATTAGACTCCACAGCTGACACTGATTTGTAAGCCCGTGTAATGATGGCC